CCCCTGCTTCCCACGCTGTCTTCCTCTGTCACTCCCTTGTGTCGCGCTTGTCACCCCTCCGACACCCGCCAGTCACTATACTACTCCTTCTGCTATTTGGTCAGGTCTCACACCACCGCTTCTGCCTCTGGTCCAGCCGCTCGGAGCCCCGCTTCCGCCTGTTGATGCGCCCACTCCGTCATAGCCCCTCCGCAGTGTACGCTAACCCTGGTCCACAGTTGGCTGTTGTGGTGTGCTGTGCCTGTTCCAATGCCAAAAGCATACAGCAGAGGTGTTGGGATAGCATAGGTACATACATGTGACAATCATTACAAAAGAAGGAACAATCATTATGGATGAGGTGTGGTATATACGGACAGGATCACATACAAGGAGTGGATTGGGAGAACATGTCTCAACCAGGAACGGAACGAAGGAGTGGTGTGCATACTAGGAGAGGCGCGGAAGAACATATGTCAACGAGGAATGGAACAGAGGAGCAGAAGTATATACGTGGAGAGGAGTGGGAGAACATGTCTCGACCAGGAATGGAACGGAGGAGCGGTGTGTAATAAGGGTACTTTATGTTTTACGTAAGGGTACAGGGTACGGATTGTGGAAAGTGAAGGGAGGAAAAATATTGAGGCGGAGGGAGGAAGGAAGGAGTGAGGAGAGGCTTTGACCCCCAAATCCTGGGTGGAAGGAGATAACAGCAGGGCTGGCAGGCTGGTACTGCCTATGCAGAATGTTCTAGAAGATGGCTTGGTTGCCTGGCGATGCATGACATCATGCTGCGCTTGTGTGCTCCCTTGCATGCATATTATGTGACAAGGTCTGGAGTTAAGTGTTCCTAGCACAGCATAAGCTGCACTATTTGTTTGGAGGCTGTGCGCAAAGGCTGTGAATATGGGATCCCCTGCAGCAATATTCCCTCACAAGGAGTCCCCTGCAGCAGAAATCCCTCACTCTTCAATATAAAAGAAGGGCCTCTCCCCACCAGATTCCCTTTTCCCCATCAGCCTACAGAAGTCTCCCATAGCAGTAAGTTGGTCCTGAGCTACCGGAAGTGTTCTGGAGTGTCAGTAAAGTGAAGAGTTAGAATTAGTGATAGTTAGTTATTTAGTGAAGTTAGTACATCAGCCTACTGCGGTAAGTTGGTCATAGTTAGTTAGTGAGTTAAGTAGTGAGTTAGTTAGTGATACGTAGCAAGTTATAACAGTATAGTAAGAAAGAAACCAACACAGAGTTTGGAATTTGAAGCATATTAGTAGTAGTAGTCATCATATCAGTAGTAGTAAATTAACAATTAACCAATAACAAGTAGTAGTAGTATTAGTACCAGAGCTCTAGTTTTTGATTAAAGTGCCTTAGCAAGAAATTGTTCGAGGAAGAGATCATTAACAAACTCTATAACAACTCATCTGTTTCGTGCTCAAGTCATCAGCACCACAGTTTCCATTATTAAACTGAAGTTGTAACAGATTCATTAGTAGATTGATACGTGATCTAGGTCTGATAGAGATTACTTTACAAAAGTAAGATCTATCTTGGAATCAGCCATACATTATTAAATATTGATTACAAGACTCTTAGTTATTTGTTTAGTACATTTAGAGGGGCAGGTCTTTCAAACCACCCGTAAGTTGTAATAGCCTTTCAACCTATTTGCAATTTATTTCCCCCTCAAGGGATCTTTTGATATACATGTACTTTACCGTGTCTATCCGTCCCAGGAGTCCTACACCGTGAACTCCTGAAGTCTGCCAGTGGCCGGATTCCCTGCAGTAAGCTTTTGGAACCTTGTTCATCGAACCCCGCTCAGCCCATGCTTTCTCGCGCCTCAGAAAGCTTGACTTTCTGTTTGCGCACCACCGCTTTCCTCAGCCTTCCGCATAGTGTTAGATCCGCATGCTTTCCTTGTCAGCCCCGTGCATTCCGCGCCCGCCCCAAACAATCCAGCCAAAGCTTTGACCCCTCCACGCCCTCACCACCACACCATGTTGATGGGCTGTTCATCAAACTACACTAAATTACACACTAAGTGTTAGTTTGGCAGCCCTTGAAACAGCACACTAACCCTGAATTGTCAGTGCACTGTTAGTGCCACTAAGCTGTGTTACAGGAGGATCGCTTTCACCTGCCAGGCAGCCTGGCCTGACAAATTGAGGGGCTTTGTTAAGCTAGATATCAACCAACCATTCAAGAAACACTAGTGGCAGATCACACAAAACACATAGTTTCTGTTGTAGCAAGGAGTAATCCTGATCTTGAGATGAACAGATTACTCCATACTACCATGTAATACTAGTAACCTAGGTATTACATAAGTCTCGCCAAGAACTTCAGCCTCCTGTAGTAGTATATATAAAGCATGTAACAAAGCATTTCTATATTTCTCTCTTCATCGAAATACATCATACTTTTTCCTAGTTCATGCTCTTTTAGGTTATGAGCCTTCTCGTTTGAAGAAGAGCTTTTTCTTTTGGTTTCTGTTTTTTCTGGTCTGTGTGACCCTTTCTTTCTTCTCCGCCTGTGTGGCCTCGGGTTCTATCGTCTGTCGCTGTGTCGCCTTCTCTTTCTTCTTTTTTTTTAATTTTGCCTTATCATGGCTCGTTCGCATCTTGTTTCCGCGCTTATTCCGGTATTCCTGTGTGGCGCTGGGTCCTTCCTCCTTTCTACTTGTGTCTTGTTCTTCCTGTGCTCCTCCTAGAGGGGCAGGTTCTTCTGCCAACAGGCTTCCAAGGGGCGGGGGTGGGGGTGGGTGGGGAGGGGGGGATGTGCAATTATCAACGCACAGTCAAATATGCTGTATTAATAAGATTACAAGTCAAATGAAGGAATCAAGCAGTCTTTTGGACAGGTAGGATGACTGTAATGCTGACAAGGATCAACAGTCTGAATTCTTGAGGGGTGTAACTTGTAAACTAACTTGAAACAAGCCCACCACTTCTGTGGTCCTGGTGCCACTTGCCAAGTGAACCTCTGAAGGAGGTACAGAAATTCACAGAAAGCTTGCTTTCTGGGACCGGTCAACATTGTAAAAAGAACCAGTCAACTTTTCAAAAAGAATGTTGTGCCTCAAACCTTTTCACATCTATGTTCAAGCTCTGAACATGCTGTTGAGGCCTTGCTGGGGCCCAGGCAACCAGTTGGGCACCGGGTGGGGGCTGGCAGAGCCTTCATGTGGCATATGATTCTGACTCAAAGATTTGAGAGGATTCCAATGGTCCTACTCCCAAATGATCAACTCCAAAAATGTGCAATCACTTCCTGGCCACTACTTCAGCCTATTTGCATGCATCTGGATTCTGGGTACTATAGATGAGTGAAGGATATAGTTTTACTATAGTGTTTTGAATGCAAATGGTGAAATTTTACTGTATGTGTCATTGATGGATGATAGAGATGGTCGGTCCGCATCCGGATACCCGTCCGGATGCGGATATTCGATGGCAATTTCAGCGAAATTGCACATCCGCATCCGCACCCGCACCCGCTAGCGGGTATCCGTCGGCCGCAGCGGGTATCCGAGCGGGTATCCTCGGCCGCAGCGGGTATCCGAGCGGGTATCCTCGGATACCCGCCCTCTAAAGGGCCGGCGACGGACCGGCTGGAAGGGTTTCCTTCCAGCCGTCGAGGTACTTGTGCCTTGCCGGCTGGAAGGGCTTCCTTCCAGCCGGCCATCTCCCCTCCCGGCCGCGGGTATCCTTTGGGATACCCGGATACCCGCCGGCGATTTGCGGAAAAGGGGCCATCCGCACCCGAATCCGCACCCGCTGGCGGGTATCCGTTGGCACGGGCGGGTATCCGCCAGCGGATAACGGGTATCCGCGACGGATACCCTTCAACCATCTCTAATGGATGAAACAAGACTGGTAGGTTATGTTACTTTTCATGGCATTCAAATGAAACCTCAAAAATTTTGAACCTGAATTGTTATTACCAATACCATTATTACCAGTGACAGAGTTTTGAAAATTTTCATGTTAGGCTTTTTTTCTTTTTTATTGCCCTTCCTGTTATCCACAACCAGAAAGTATGCATAATTGTTGAGGGGCAACTGACTTTTTTGATGTTTTTTTTTCTTGAATTCAGATATGGTGTCATTGTGTTACATTTAGTGAGATTGCTTGCAGCAAGGGGATTTGTTGATGGCATGAATATAACACATTACCCAGTAACAAGTCATTGAATGACAAAAATCTCTTCGGACAATGTGACATGTGCAACCTCCCACTGTTGGTCGTAAATGTGGGCCACCGGTCACTCAAACCATCAAGCCACTCAGCAAGCTCCTCAAGACGGTGGGCCACCGCCAGTCAGCCACCCAAAAAGAACAGCACGAGGAGCACTCCCCGCAAGGTCAGGCGAACGTCGGGGTGGCCCGACGGTGTATCAGTGATTCAGTATTATGCAGCCCTGACCAACAGCCCACTGCGATCCAAGCCTGACGAACAGGAAGTTGAGGGATGGCTGCCCATGTTAAGGTGGTCGGAGTGAATAAACGGAGAGGGCTGCCGGGCCAGTTGCTGAATCCCGTCCTGTTCTGATCAAGGCCGGTTCTTAGTCCTTTTTTTGCGGCAAAAAGACAGAGTACGACCGGTTTAGAACATACAGGCGGAGGTTCTTGCCATCTACTCCAGCGAGTTGCTGCATCTTCTGGCGAGGTGTGGGCTATGACTTGTGCACCTACTATCGTTCCTGAAAAGCAAGCCTTCTTTCTCAAGGCACAGCGGAACTGGCTGGACCGACAAATGCCTGATTTCCCCTTCGGAAAGGTTGGTCCGGCCCGAAACAGTGCTTGAGTTCTCGAAATGGCTTGCAAGCTTGACTCGTTCTGCAGCCTCAGGCTTCAAGAAATGGGTATATAAGCGGACACTCTTGGGCGTTACTCTCCCATCATTCCACATCACTCACATCCTCATCCTCTATCATCTAACTACCCTCATCCGTTGGTTCGAATCTGTCCAGTCAAGAGATCATTTTAATTCCTGCTCTTCCTCAACAAAAAATCGACAGCCATGAATGCAAAGATTTATCTTACCTTCTTGATCGCGTTCGCGTCGCATTCATCTGTCCAATCGGCTCACCACCCCAAAGCTGCTAAGCATGTGGTTTTTTCTACCTGCTCGAAACCTGGAACCCTCGCACTTACCTACGATGATGGACCCTATCGGTATCAAAACCAAATATCCGACTACCTTTATGATAGAGATATCAAAGGCACTTTCTTTGTTAATGGATACAATTATAATTGCATCTACGATAAGGATGTGGTTAAACACCTCAGACATAGTGAGTAGTTTAAACTTTAAGCTGGAGTTATCAATATGCTAACGCACTTGCTCATTCTTGTGCGCTTAGCTTTTGCACAAGGTCACTTGATTGGTTCACATAGTAAGTCGCATATTTGTTCCATGGCTTAATCCTCAAGCAACCAGTAATCTCATCTGTTTGCATTTTTATTTTAGCCTGGTCGCACACAAACATTAGCACTCTATCCGTCCATGAACTTCACCAACAACTTGACTTGAATGAAAGAGCACTAAAAAGTGAGTCCTCATCAAACCTTGAAAGGGCTTCCTCCCCGAACTGCATTAATGTCCTTCTGTTCCGTTATTCAGAGATTCTAGGAATCAAACCGAAATTTTTCCGAGCTCCATATGGTACGCTATTCAAAACAAATAATCGTGTTTCTTCCGTCCTACTCACATCCCTCTCGAAAATCTTTTGCATCTTGACTAGGCGAGCATACTAAGGAAAACTTGAAAGTACTAAAGCAACGAGGATATGTGGTCGTCGACTGGTCGAGTGACTCAGAGGATTCGATGGGCGCGTCGGCTAAAAAATCCAAAGCGATGTACACCAAGCTGGCCAAGAAGTATCCATCGCCTCAGATCGCTCTGAACCATGAGACGTATAAAGATACGGCTCACAAAGTCACCCCACATGCCGTGACTGTTTTACAAAAGGCTGGGTATGAGCTCATGCATGTATCGGAATGTCTGGGAATGGGATCAAACCTCGAAGATCTTTATCAATGGGTTGGCGAGCCGTCCGAAAGAGATGTGAGAAATTTCCCTCTTCACAAGTAATCGAGCTGTAT